AGTTTTGCGCTTAACAACAACGAATCAAACGTTATAATTATAATCCATCGAAAAATATTAAACAGTAAGAGTCGCGGACATGACCTTAATTTCATTTCAACCTATTAGGAAGATGTTCTGTGCTTCGTTTAGTGTCATTTAATAGTTCTTGCCAAAGGGAGTTTGTACCGATTATTATTTTTTAATTGTGGTTTTGAATTATTAATTCACGATGAGGGTTTTGAGTTATTAATTCACGATGAACATGGGTCGCGAACAACGAATTATCGCATTTACAATTTATGTATTTGGATATTTAAAATTTATTTGTGGCCCGATAATGTTGGGCCACACACACACACACTGCACTGTACTGAGCAAGTTCTACAATCCGCTGTTAGTTTAAATTAAACTGGAAACCCATAATGGTAATGCTGAGAATACTGTGATTAAAAAACAAATAAAAACAACTGATATTTATTGTAAAAGGTTAAAATATCAAGTTCGTTATGCATTCAACGTAAGCCAGTTGAGAACAAATGGTCTGGAAATAATATCTTGATCACGAAACTTAAGTGATATCCTTCAAATTAAAGTCGCATTGGTAAGTAAGTTTCTTTACAACAAAAAAACAGGTATTCGCTATTGACTGGACCTGGTTTTGTGGTGTATTAGGAAGTATCACGTTTGTTTCTTTTGTTGTTGTTGTTGTTGTTATTTCCGATACCTGTTCCCGCACTATTCAAATTCAACTGCCAGGAAGTGCAAATAGTAACAGGACTACATATCGACTTCCATTAAAAAAAACAAAAATCGCGACACTCCACTTGTAAATCCAAGAATAACGAGTACTGAGTCACCCTTTCAATCGTGCACGTTTGGTATTATTAGAATCTTAATAGCGGATTTTGTTTAACGTTACGATTTCTGTGCTTAACTTCAAACAAACACAAAAGATTTTGCCCTGGCATGGCCGTTAGACTAGGGTGCTCAACTAGTGAACATTCAAGATCAGATCCATATGTAAGAACCAGTCAACATCCAAGATCAGATCCATATGTAAGAACCAGTCAACATCCAAGATCAGATCCATATGTAAGAACCAGTCATCATCCAAGATCAGATCCATATGTAAGAACTAGTGAGCATCCAAGATCAGATCCATATGTAAGAACTAGTCATCATCCAAGATCAGATCCATATGTAAGTACTAGTTAACATCCAAGATCAGATCCATATGTAAGAACTAGTTAACATCCAAGAACAGATCCATGTGTAAGAACCAGTCAACATCCAAGATCAGATCCATATGTAAGAACTAGCTAACATCCAAGAACAGATCCATATGTAAGAACTAGCTAACATCCAAGAACAGATCCATATGTAAGAACTAGCTAACATCCAAGAACAGATCCGTATCTAAGAACTAGTGAACATCCAAGAACAGATCCGTATCTAAGAACTAGTGAACATCCAAGAACAGATCCGTATCTAAGAACTAGTGAACATCCAAGAACAGATCCGTATCTAAGAACTAGTCAACATACCCGTGGTGGGCAGATCATAGATAGCCCATTGTGTAGCTTTGCGCTTAATTCCAAACAAACCATTCTAATTTATGCTTTTTTTTTGCTACCCCTATTCTATGTTACGTATTCTGTGCGTAACTTTCATATCAATCTCAGCTACATCGAATAATAATTCAAAATCGCGTCTGAGCATCCGGGGCCTGCAGTTCCATATCGAATCAAGATAACACATTGTTCCTTTTTTTCCCAAGTCTCTTCCGTTGCTGTATAATTAAGCATTCAAACATTGTTTGCGAGGCAGTAAGTGTACCACCAGTAACAGATTGGCAGATCTGTTGGACCATGAATAATAAAAACAAAACTTCCGCGTTTTTGAGGATGACAGGGACAGATAACTTCGTAAGGCCTCACTCAGGCGATTTATGTAAATAGTTAGTTTAGCACTGACTGCCTTGGGAAGGCCGCAAATCTCGCGGGAGAATTGGAAGATATATGAACACCGAGTCGATTTCTAATCCCTCCAGAACAATGTTTCTGTCGTCAGGGGCCTGATCTATCCATCTCGTTCAATATATAAGCACTATACTGCACAACAATAACACGCACGAGGGAACGTGTGTTGTGGCAGTGGCCAGTGGGGAAAAAAAAAGATCGATCCTAACGAAACCGACAAAAAGGAAATAAATACTGATAAACATTTTTATTTTATTTTCATAAACAAGGAACAGCTACGGAGTGACTTATTAGGAATTATATAATCTTTGTGTGTGTGTGTGCGTGCGTGTGTCGTCCCTTTTTTTTATGAAGATAGTATATATAGTTAATATCGTTTCCCGTTAACTACAAGTAGATATAATTGTCATCTGTTTGATGCAACTATATTGTATTTTTTTTTTATTCCTGTAAACTCCCAGGAGCATAGGGCCGCAACAACACCTCGCCAACGGAAGGTGTTGTTGCAGTTACTTG